TTATCTAACTAGAAGAGAGCGTTTTTATCGATACAACGAGCCCGAAAGCTATCATGGTCCACTATCAATCCATCTACCATCCCACACAACATGGGAACAAGTAACCGAACCTGACTAATAGAAGGTCTCGAACACCACATAGTTCTCTACCTAGACGATCGGCAACAAGCGTCTCTCGTCTCTTGCAACCTCACCGGCTGAGAGAGAACAGATTAACTACCTCATAAGAGCGGGATTTCTGCGCCAATCGGCCTCTGGATGCGCCACACACTTGACTTCATGTGGAAATGGTAGCGGCGTCCTGCATCTACGCAGCACTCACTCGATCCTAATGAATGCTAATCAGCGCCTCTATCCACAGAAGCAGCGGGAAGAGCGCTTATCAATTCCTCCCATAACCTCAAAGATTTTAGTGCCTTCTGGATGCACCACGCACACGACTCTCCACCAAAATGTAGTGGATAGTGGTGTTGCAATGCGATAGCCTCATCAGTGACTTGCGGGACTGGGCGATGAATAAGGCATAAGTTCCCTCCTCCTAAACGAGTCTGGTATCCGATGACCATGCCCGGAAGGATGTAAGGCTGGTCAGCCCTGGGGGATATTGATCCGGAATGTGATCCTCGCAGCACAGGTGTGGTAGCATCGCAACTTGGCACTACCCCATCTACATCTCTCTATGGTAACCCACGGGAATTATAAGCCTTCATTCTGCATTGCGCTGGTTGGCAAGGGTAAACCCATAACCTTAGGAAGCATACGGTGAAGCATATGGTGGAGCTATTGGACGTTTTACTGATCCCAGACCCCTCGACTCATTTTATCAACTAGCCCATTTTGAATCCATTGTATAACGACTTCATGGAAATTGAGTGGTCACGAATAGCCTGAACATAACATTGCATCAGAGCGCGATCCTCTTGCGCTTCACTTGGCAGCGGAATGGGAACAATGACTATAGGTGTCTCTCTTCATTAAGAATGGACTAATCGGATTCCATGCTCATCAGGTAGGCATGCAAACATCATGAGTATGCTTGTGTCTCAGTTCCTAGTATTCATGTTATTGAGGCTGCTTTGCCAATGTACGGAGGGCGTAGGAGAGAGCTGATGTAGTGCAAGTGGCGCACACTATAACACACATGGTCTACGGTTCGAATCCCGGCTTGATACTCTTCCCCTATAACTCAAGCCTTCCAGCGCTCTAGGGTCGGTTTATTAGTAGCAGACTCTTCTGGCAATATAAAAGCGTTAACTTGTGCATTGACTGGACCCCGCAATTTCTTGTATAGGCCCCATACAGCAAATTCTCCACTATGATTCTAAACGGAAATCGAATGCAGGGCGCATCCAAAAACAGCCGCAGACTAACCGAAGCCGAAGACTTTACCCCTTATCAAAAACACCTTCCTCCAACTAAAAGCGTGGTCCATGGAATGATATACGATCCAAGTCAACAGGGGGATCTGTACCTCTGAAGCAGACCGAAATGAGACTCACTGCGAAGTTGGATTTTGCTTTTTTGGGGTTTTCAAAGGCTTGAATGGTACCAGGAAACCCAATGATCACCAAAAATTCCATGCAAATGAACAGCTCAAGAATGAAAGGAAATAGAGCTGTTAATTCACATTCAGTATTCATGAGAAGAGGTTCCTCGAAGCTAATGGTGCTTCAGTGGTCTGTCGGTAGGAAGAGATATTGCTTGAATTATTATTTGATGAGATCAAGAAATATATAAGTGGGTAGGACGGCTTTAGCCAATTTGATTCTTTTTCGAAGACTACAACAGGGACATCTTCTCCGCGGTACAAACTTCAATTTGGCGTTAACGGGGTCGGAATTACGCCCCATTAGGTCCCAGAATCAATCAGACAACCCCTCACCCTTGAGAGATCGTTGAGTTTATATCCGACTCGGCAAGGGCAACGAGGAAACACAGGATTCTCCACATCTCCGACCCTTACAAGCTTTACATGGATTAAGTAGAAATAAGAATGTGCCGCTATAAGTCTGAATAAGCACCATTCCTGTATGGAACGCTCTCTAAGCCGGTATCGCTAGACTGCCATTCACCCTCATACTGCTTCACACTCAATCGCTATCAGCGACGCCTACTACTTATCTTTCCAGCATACTTCTACAGTACCGAGCGGCATTCTATTCAGTTTTTTAAACTCCTTTTGTCTCTCCCTAATACGATTTCTCTTTATCGCTCGCTCGTTTTTCCTTTTTTTCCTTTACATCACCATTTTTACTATAGACCCCTTTGCTTCTTTCAAGGAGAGCGAGGATCCCTCTGTTGCAATTCTCTTTTAATTTCTCTGAGTGCGCCGCATACAGTACCACACCTCTTACCACCTCCTGTGAAGTTCTCTTTTCATTGGAATCCTCATTTATTTCATTTTTTACCCTAAATCCCTAATTTTTGCTTATTTCGCTGTCAATCCACATATGGGCAGCGCACACTGCTTCAGGGTGTCATTCACCCCACAAAAATAAACAACCCAATACCCGACTTGGCAAGTCTTTTATTCCGTTGTACGCTTGAGTAAGAACATGTTGTCTGAGAAGATTGATTCACTGACGTAAATACTGGTTTTTCGTACGAGTTATTGCATATGTTCCCCCAACCATCTATTCCACACATTCCCCTTTAGTTCCACTGGTGATGAAGCCAAAACTAAAAAGGTAAAAGGTACGGCGTAATATTCATCACCTCAACTGGATAGGTGAGCACCGGGAGGCAGCGTTCATCAGTGTTCACCCACCCGGGCGGCTGGCGGGTAAAGAAGTGGGCATCAGAATAAATCCGCAGAGCTACCCTGAATGATAGCGATGTTTGACCAAACATACCCACCTACCATTATTTACTGTGTTCCGCTATTTTACGTATTTGCCATCGCCTTTGATAGTCAACCGCCCACTGCCCACTATCTGACCCGATAAGTGCTTTAATAACTACTATAAACATAAACGACCTAGCCAACTTTTCCGAACTCTTATTCATAGTTTCAAAAAGATTTCGAACAGATACTATTCATTAGTTTCCCAGTCCAGGGTTGGTGTACTCAAGGGTGTGTACCTAATTTTCACCCCGTCTACGTAGAGCTGTCAAATAGCCCCCTGCTGTGATTTCAAACCGGATACTTGACCTTGTCACCACCACATTTGGCTTATTCGAATCGTTGTTTCACGAAAATATCGATGACATCGTCTCAACCCGTGAATGTGAACATTTCGCAGTTGCGAATACCTCTCACACATTACTTGACATCAGTATGGGGATGAACAGTTAAAAACTGTAGGCCTACTGAGTAGTTCAACAAGGAAGGAAAAAAATGAAGGGAATCGTGGAAGACATTGAAGATATTTCTTTTCCTTTGTCGAACTTATGTATTGCACTGGATATCGGCAATGAAAATGAGATTATTAGTAAGCTTCGCTCCAAATGGCATCATGTCAGAAATTAGGATGACAACACTCATTCCTGAGCTGATCGTCATGTTTGCGGGCTTTGATCGTTGTTGTCTCAGCAGCGGTCGGTAATGTCTGAGCGTTCCGGTAGGACAAAGTTTTAAGAGATTTCAAGTTGGGACCGTCCGTCTGTAAAACAGACTGGTATCACCCAGGTATGGGCTTTATCGTTACAGCTGGCTTACCATATTCGTTTAGAAACCGCTACTAGCGGCAATAATCCTATTACATTCATCCCGTTTTACCATTGCGATTCCAGCAGTGTGAACAGGGTCGACCACAGAATTTCGCGGAGTATGGGACCTTGGAAGCATGGTGTACAACATTTTTACTCGTTCATGTGGAGAGAATCGTTTCAAAAAAAAATTTCTGGTTCCTTTGGACAACTCCCAAGTGGAATAGTGAATAGTATACACGCTCCGTGGAGTGGTGACTGATATACTTAGGTTGGGCAAAACGCCCATCAAACGGTTTGTTAAGCTGAAAGGTTTCTCAATAAGACCGAATTGTTACTCTTCTCATTTTGAGACTATGCCTTCAAATCAAATCTATTTTGGAATAAACACATGAAAGGTAACCGCGCAAATATCACCCACCTCCGAGGCTAATTGTCTCAGCGGTACTCTTTGTTCGAGAATACAACCAGTCAACAAGTGCTGGATGGCAGTGGCATAGGAATCACTTCAACAAACACGTTTGCACCTTCTTTGGCTAACTTGTTTGCTACCTTACTTTCCAAGATGGTTGTCCTTTTTTGGTTTAACGTAGAAGGACACAAGGGAAGAGGGAAAGATGTGAGATTTTCGAGCCTAGTATACATGAGTGTTTCTTGCCTGAAACGGTCTGGGGCCAGTTAGCCAGCCTAGGGTATGAAGGAGGTTGGGACTACCTAACTAAAACCAACAAAACGGATTTAGCTAACGAGAACCGCACCCATCAGTGCTGTATATCCACCTGCTGCCAGCTGATCATGGGATGTGATAAAGAATGTTTCCACTCACATTAAGAAGAGCTGCAGGAATAGGAGTTTTCTTCCTATTTTTGAGATTATTCAATTGAGGACTGATATGGAACAGCCATTCGCAGACTTCCGCAAGGAGCCAGCCACCAAAAACGTTGAACTGTAATTTAGAAACCATGATCGAAGGTAAAACCGAAGAGCGTCCCTAACAGAAAAAAAACTTAGCAACAAAAAGGACCTCCTCCACTGATTGGGTATCAGCACGCTTTTCCTCAGATTTTTCTCGTGAAGACGAACTACTCCGACTACGGCTTCCTGGTTGAGAATCAGAACCGCTTGAGGCTCTCCTCCTTCTGATTCGGATAACCTGAACACCTTCATTTGTTTAAATTCACAAATCGAGAGAAACAAAAAAAAACAAAAGGAAAGTCACTTCATCGTCGTCGACGTTATTTTCTGTCTGCGTGACGACAACATTATCGATGAGACACAGATAGCATGAACATAGAAGAGTCATACAGCCGATGAATGCGTCCTCTGGAAACAAAAAGTTGCATGAAAGAAGCTATGCATAATAAACATTTTCATTGAACGAAATTGAGTGCAAATCCGAATTCAGAGTTGAAAAGTCATTTTTGGTGTTTAATGCAAATCGTTTGCGCTCTACTATATGGTAAGTAAGTCCACATGCCTATACCTACACGGATGTTTTATCCGAGCAAAGTTGCAGTCCTGGAAAGCTGCAAAAAATCATAACCAGTCCCGATATATCCCGTTCCTATCCCCTAATATGGTAATAAAAAAACGGAGAACCTGGAAATGTAAGCCCTATCGCAGAACTGGTTACCGACAAAAGGACCATGCGAGACAACAGATGAAACGTGCAAACTAAACGCCCTGGAAAGTTTCTGGTCCAATAAGTGGTGCCAGCTTTTATCCTAAGTTGCCTTCGTTGACAACTCAAGCCGATTCTTTCAACTTACATTGAGTCGGGAACAACTCCCTGCCAAGGTGAGCCAAAGGGGAGGACCGCTGAGCGCTCTCATAGCAGAAGCGAGTTTTAACTGATCCTCTTGATCTCAGCGAGCAGTTTCTAAGGAACGTGGAAAGCGCGGAAAGCTTCACTCGCGAATGGAATGTAATCCCATGTTGGAAAAAATTTTCTTCAACGAAGCTATGTATCACGGCAATTTTTTTTTCAAATGAAGCGAGGGTTTCACTGTTCTCAACTAGCAGCTTTATCTTTCTGGAATCGTAGATGGATTGTATTCAGCTTCCCAGATCCCACGACTGAATTTTTCTTTCGTTGCATGATGCCACTGTTTAGAATTCACTAAAAGCAAAAAGGGGATGACGCTGACCATTTCCACTATCCACCGCCAATCGACAACTGAGCGATAAGATAAGAAGCAATGATGCCAACTGTGACTCATGAAACGGGTCATTCAGAGATTTGATCGCTTCCACCAGACGAATCCCTTCACTATCGAGATTAGTTCTGCTACAAAAACACAGTTTACCAAAGGAACTGAGGAAAGTCTTAGTACGACTGAGCCAAACGCTCTAAAAGCCACTATGCAAAAGAAACACGGAAAGTTACCTGTAAGAAACAAGGATGATGAATGGAATAGAAAGAGCAAACGAGGAGATTGGACCGCTCACTTGTTGCTCGAACGTCTTCTTCAGATTATCCCAAGCTTTCTGGAATGGCCTCCGAGCCAATAGAGCAAGTAAGAAAAGCCTCAAATCAATAGTGTCAATGAGAAGCATATTCAAAAGCTGATAAATGGGTTGAATATTCAAAAAGAAGTATTCGCTACCCAGCCAAATTTGTTTGTAGAAGTTTACTTTTAAGCAAACTGGGCTGCAATACACGACAAGAGAGAAGCAACAAACCTAACGGAATTGACTGGCGTTTCATTGAGAGCAAGCTGGTTATACGCTCGACCTACATCCGAATCCATCTCTACAGCACGACGATAGTAAAGTGTGGAAAGTGACGACTGATCGGTATTGGTCAGGTATCCAAAATTGAAAAGGGTAGATCCAAAATAATAAAACTAGTTTGAACAGAAAACACTGAGCGCCACATACCTGTGGAGATCTCCCAGGTACAGGTTGTACATTGCAGCATGCCGAGGACTTTCAGCCAGCATGCTCTGCAATTCACCACAGAAAACCGAGACCATTACATTGAACCAATTGTCACCAACAGTCTGTAAGCATATATCAAGGAAATTCAACAACGTTGGATCAAATACTATCCTAACCATCAAGATTTTCATCGTCACTCTCATTTTAAATTCACCGCCATCTTATGGAACGAGATTGCATTAGCTCCTAGATAGGTGAACTTTCCAAGAGTAATCAAAAGTTGGATATTTGAATTCAGAATCCTCGATCAAAAACGGTGCTCGCTGCGTCTACTTTTCAACGAAATTGGTCAAGCCAAAGCTTTGTCAGTGAGGTAGTGAAGTTTGAAGTAGTTCTTTTAAGCAAGATGATGGCATAAAAAGCGACAGAATTGAACAGGAAATAGCGGTCAGAATAGTAATGTAAAACGTACCTTTTGCTTCCTTAACTTATTCAGCGGTTCATAATAAGATGCTCTCCAGAACATCTCCAGTGCCTGGGCGTTTTCATCGGACTCATCCAACTCGCATAGAATGCGCCTAATCCTAAACAGGGAAGCTTGCTGAACTGAACAGATTTGTATGAAAAAAACATACTTCTTTCGAACCGAAACTGAATGAGACGAGTTGATTCCTTCTTGTTCATATACTTGACGTAGCGCTCGACAGTATTTGCCCACGCGTTCCATGTTCTAGTATGAGGAATCAGTAATAACGCTCGCTTCAACCAGTTTTCACATACTGGACTAAATAAGCAGGACAAGCGATTAGAAAGCATTCATTCTTGAGCAAATTCTGGTACGAGTCGTGGACTTGCGGGATATTGATCGCCGACGCCTTTCGCTCACCGCCCAGCGCAAAGCATGAATGCGAATTACTTACTTTTTAGGAATCACTTTCTCAAAAACACAGTGCGCGACCATATGGCTATATTCATCAGAAACGCAACGCAACCCAGAAAATGAATGTAAGCACTAGGGGATTTTCCAACTAAAAACACCAGTAAAAAAAAGTTGGAAGCGCACAAGCTGAGACCCTCATTTTTGCCGTTGGTTTTGTTGATGTTTCTTTGAAGAAGAGCAAAGATGTGAGTTTTTAGATGGGCTCAGCTTACTGTGGCCGTATCAAATCTAATTGTTTAATCGTTTGTTCCTTTTGTAGTCGGTCTAAAGCTTTTACTTTCTCTTCGACCCTCATTCCGTAGTTCTCAAGACTTTTTCTGTCCCATAGTGTCACGAGTCCTTCCTATAGCCTAAGCACCTTCTCAGGATACTGCCTGTGCAAAGTGTCTCCATGAAAATCGCGTCTTTAATGATGCCTTTAAGCGCATAGCAACCCCTTCAGAACATGATGCTGAAACCAATTTTTTGTTCCAGGAAGGCCGATGAAATCGAAGGATACGGATGGAAGAAAGGGCTGTCTTCAAACTGGAGGCGTACCCGATACATGACGCACACTCCCAACGTAAAGTATTCGCAGGTGAAAAACCGATCCTTACCAATCAACCAAATGACCAAATGATTAAGCAGCAATAAAACGTGTACCTTTCCTCGGTAGCACGAGAGTAATTCCTAATCTCAGTTATAGAGATCTCAGATAGCGATGGGCATAAACCTATCCAATGAACAAGAAATAAGATAAGCAGTTTTTTATTCATGGAAATCATTTCATACCGTATACAGCATCAAGGCATTTCACAACGAAGCATTTCACTTATACTGATATAGATGTAACTCGTAAAGATCAACAATTCATCAACTTCTATTGGAAACATATGGTGGATCTAAGAAGTAGCGTTGCCTACAGTAACTCAACAACATGGTAAACATTCAAGAATGCTTCAACAATCTCATAAACAAACTTATCACTCCAATGCCTTGACGGCTCCTTTGTAGAGAACATAAATGATTATTCCAATGGTCGTAGGGATCAGGAAGTTCGACCACGTTGGAGAGAGAATGATTTCTTTGGCCTTCTTTAGAGCGCAAGATATCGAACATCCTTGCTCTGCTGAACTACCAGCGTCGGCTTTTACGGCGCTAGACGATGAACTGGCCTCGAGCTTTCCTAGAACGTGGGTCGCCATAAGAACTGATTTATACTATCTGCCGCAATGTGAAAAAGATTACCGATCAGATATTCTTTGGTCATTTCTCTAGCATCCTTTGAGTGCCCGACATCTTCGAAAGCGGCGGTGGCGTCCTACAAAAAGTAACTCGAAGATTTAAAGCATTACATCTTGTAAAAAAACATAACATATTCAGGGATACACAATAGAAGATGAAATATACCTGCCCAGCTAGTTCAGCGATAACTTGAAAACCTCCAGGATGTTCGGAGAGAAACGAGCTGACGTCGTAAACCTGTGAAAGAAAAAGGTAGGCGTGCACCTTTCTATTTGGGTTACTAATGAAATTTACGTGATTAGCAGGCAATTTGAAAACCCAGACCATGCATTCAGCTGAAATACGATGGGTATGTAACTCCACCTCTTTTCGTAACTTCAGTCTCGGTGGTGGAAGCTTCAAGCTGGTATAAGTGACCTACTCCTTCACTAACCGAGAAGAAAATACGGACAGAGATTCAGGCACTGAACGTGCTGCAAAGGAGCTGCTCCTCTATATAGTCAAAATGCAAATGCTTTCCGCATCGACGATTGAAAGCTCAGCACACAACGTTTAGCCTTAGCAGCGTATCTTCACAAGTACAGCTACGTGCTATTCCCACTGTTCTGACTCTTCGGTGATTCACAGCACCATCTTTATTCTTGTCATTTTCTTTACAGGAACAAAAGACCAATACTGGGTATTATGCTGTCACAACTTCAGAAGAACTTCAAAGCGTATTATTCATGTCTGCTAACAGCTGTTGACTTCAAACGCTAGCTGCAGTAGGCTGGTTTCAGGACAATGCCAGAGACAATGCCCGTTGTACTTCTAGACAAGCCTGAGCATCTCCCACCCCCAGTCTTGTGGGAACCCGAATCGGCAACTACTGCAGCAATTTGTGGGAACGTTAACTAAGGAGAAATTTGATCAGCGACGTGGACGGAAGGCAGTGGTGACACCATGACTACAAGCATTATCCCCAGCAGCACCAATTCACTACCGCAAAAAAGAAACTGACCCGAATCGGCAACTACTGCAGCAACTGACAGCTTTAAGGTTTGCCTTATCGTGCTTCACGAGTGTTTGGAATGCTGCACTAATTCGTCATTGGAAACGATGGAATAGCGAAAAGGCCACGTAACGCATATCAGACGTCAATAACACGGGTCTGATTGATTAGCAATCTCAACACTTGACAGTTACGACAAAGGAATCCTGAGTAACGAGTTCTTACGCAGATGAAACATTCCTTATATGTGGAACCTGAGGGAAGAAAAGAAAGAAGAACATACCTTATCATTTAAAGTGATCCAGCAAGATCCAATGGTTGAATGCTGTTGCACTTCAGACAGGGGAATCTCTCGGAGTTCTCCAGTGCTCATTTGAAAGGTTGTTTTGAACTGTAAAGTTATACTGAAAAAGAAGTTTCTTCAGAGAACAAAATACAAAAATCTAGTAGCAGGTAACGAAAACTAAGATAAATAAATGTTCGGTCCAATCAATACTTTACACAATGATAAGTCAGAAGAATAGGGTAGAATAGAATGTAAGGTCGAAGTGACTGTTGGCCGAAATGATTCACAGATGAAGACTTGCAGAGGAATTCAAAGACGAACTGTCTTAGAGACCATAGAAGCTTCCTTTCTACAAAAAAAAACTTGTCCCCTTATGTAACTCCAGACAGATTTAGGAACATGGGCACCTATTGGGGACGGTTTCGCTGACGGGCGCTGGCCCCGCAGCGTTTCATCTGCTCAAGCTCCTCCTTAATTTACAACTACTTGCCCTTCCTCATCGCTATGGCACAGCAAAAGGCTGGTGTGCCCGTTTCGCGAATGTGAGTGGGTGTGGAGTAAAGGTACTGAATATTCCTGTTTTGGACCTCAAGATATACCAATGACGAGTCTTGCTGGAGATATATCATTATTAAGGGAAATCAATATACCATCGCAAGGGAGGGGTACGAAAATTCCGAGAAATGAATATAGGACACGCACGAAATCTGGCATATTTACACACTCATCTCCCGCCCAATGTAGTCGTCACGGCGACTCATTTCAGAAGGAAATCATTGCAATGTTTAACATTTCCGGAGAAAATCTCGATGAAAACCAGTAACTGTTGGTGAAGAACTTGAAAGACACACTCATAATAAAAAAAGAGAAACAATCAGACCAACAACAGGTTCAAGGTCACCCTGTTAAGAAAATGTTGCCTAAAATCTTTTGGAGAACATTTTGAAGAGGTTACGCCCTCCTGCTTTTGAAGAGAAACATCAGCAATTATTCCAGCAACCTAATAAAATGAAAAGAAAAACAAATAATAGTATCAATTGCCTTAATGAAATTAGGTAGGCAACATAAGGTAAAAGAACCCAGGTCCCAGGAGAGTTTTGCAATCGTTCCCACTTCAAGAGCGGAGTGCGGTTTTTCTACTTTTGATAAGAGAACAAAAGCTGTGAGAAGCGACTACGTGTGTTCATTGAGCCGAGCAATCGATCTTCCATAGAACACCTCGATCTTCAAATAAATTTCATGACCAGATGGTTCTCTAAATTCTTGGGGAACAGGACTACCACAATGTTTTTTACTAATTGGTTCATTCCCTCAAAAGCACGGCGATTACTGAGATGAGCAGACGGCCCATAATACATCTTTATTTGATGAGTTAAGGGGATAATCCAANTGGTTCTCTAAATTCTTGGGGAACAGGACTACCACAATGTTTTGTACCAATTGGCTCATTCTCTCAAAAGCACGGCGATTACTGAGATGAGCAGACGGCCCATAATACATCTTTATTTGATGAGTTAAGGGGATAATCCAAGAAACTAACTCACACATTGATCATGATTATTCTTACCTCGAAAACTATACTTTGAGAGTAATTATTAATACAGATCAACTGAGATAATAATTAGAGGTGTAATACAATTCACATCGACCAAAGCCGCCAATAATCATTGCTACCACCACGTTCCTTCAAAAGGAAGTTCTCTGGAAGTAAACTAACAAAACTTTTATTCCGCAGATGTTGTCAGCGCCTAAAGAAGAAAAGTTTTGACATCTTGTTTGGTGTTGTCTTTTTGTTAATTGTACAACATCCACGTAAACACTTCAACACGCTTGTTTTCATTGAGCAGGTTTTGCGGCCTTGCATTGAATCACCTCTCAAGGCCTTGCCTTCCTCCCAATGCTTCTCTTAATATTCTCTCACCGGAGAGGTAATTTCTAAAAAAAATACTATCACTCTCACCCTGCGTCACCTTACAATGAGTAGAAGAGGGCAGCAATTGTTGAAAGAATTTGAAGGAAGATTAGACGGGGCTATGCAGAGATCATCTGTGTACCCATTCTTTTGAGTAAAAGGAGCGTCATCCAATTCATTGATGTGGAAAATTCGAGCAGTAAAGAATACTGCTTGTTACATTCCCATTTCGTGACATACATTGCCTGCCGGTTCTACAGATTATGTTTACAGAAAATCTCCTATATGGGAGAACAGACTAACGAAAGCCACTGCAGCGATAGCGAACGATAGTCCATACTTTGAAATTCGCCTACAAAACTCCACTGACTACGTAATAACTACACTAAACAAGTATCAGCCCACATGACGTCACAAAAGGAGCGAATAATGCTTTTTCAAAAAGTATATCATCACCTCAGTTGGAAGACACTCCTAAACTGTGATAGATGAGAGAAATCAGATTAGTCTGGAATCCGAGCAGATTTGCTAAAGTAAGTTCACGAGAGAAAATCATGCTGCTCATTTCTCTCTCTAAAAACGGTTTGGACAAAGAAAGAATGTCGAATGGTAGAAAAGTATGGAAGAATGAATAAGAAGTGAGGCAGGCATGAGGGGAGGGGCAATAACCTTGAAGAAAAACTTTCTAAGGACGAGAGTGCCCCGACGTCCTCGGCTGCTTTCTGTCAGCCAGAATGCGTTCCATGCTGAAGAAGACCACGCACGGCATTTAGCTCGAATGCGTTGCGGAACCGGTTATAAATTCCATCGGAAATGCGCATATGGTTGACGAAAGGAGCCACCACTAACTTCTGCACTCGGACAGCGATGATGGTAAAATATCAAAGTGACTGTTTCGGAAGAGAAGTTATACCAACAATGACTTTGTTCTGTATGGTCAATGCGTCCGAATAAAGAACAACGATAATGTCAATCAGAGCTAATCAGATCTCGAAGTCGCGGATGAAAGCGTCTATACTTCGCGACGGCTAATATCAACGGCCAAGGGGTCGAAGGCCGGATGCGTCAATGCAGGTATGAAGGGGTGGGTGGTGGTGGTGCAGTGACAAGTGGCGCACTTCACACACCCATGGTCACGGTTCGTCCCATCTAGGCTAACCAAGACTTTCATTTAACTGAGACAAGACTTGTCTAGGAGAATAGAAGCACTGGCTTGTGCATAGTATAGACAACGTGCGCATTCAATACACCACTACGATTCTGATAGGAGTTGAATGCGTGGGTGCATCCCTCGGAAGAGATTGATTAACGCCCCAAGACTTTAGACTTCTTGAAGCCGCACTTAAAGCGATCAGGTAGTGTAAAAGCTGCAACCACATGATTTATGGGTGAGTGTAGGAGAATAAGTAATGGTACTCGAGCGTCTCAAAGTTGTCATAATGGTCAACGCCGATGCCGTCAAATGCTGCTTGTCGGGCAATTGAGGGAGTTGGGTGAAAATGGACCTGGGGAGTAGGAGCACGCATAACAAGTTTTGAGTCAAAATAAACAACCGTCAGAATAACAAGAAATCAACACGGTAATACGTGTTAATCCTTGTCCTACTGTTCTACTGTATCTGTATTGGAGGGCAAAAAAAGGAATGGACGCGATCGTCTGTGCTTATATGCGGCCAAGGGATGTCCTTCTTTTACTGAGGGTAGGAACACCGGGGATGAAATGATTACCTTGGCGGGTTCATGCACAACCGGATTACTTCGCCACATTTGAATTCGAACTTAGCCAACGCTATGTTCGCGCTTCTGGGGGATTGAGCTGATAAGTTGCACTTTGCGATTTAACTGATTTGATGTTTTCGTATTCCCAGTTGCGTAAATTGGAGAAGGATGCATAACTGAAGTTGCACTCAAAGTGCACCATGAAGGAAAAGATGGAATTCCACTTAAAAATCAAGGTTTAAGAGCAATCAGAGGGCAACAGCGTGAAGCTAAAAAATTGTCATCATGAGGGACCTGAAGACCGAAATGATCAAGTTACTGTGGGTTTGAAAAGAAGCAAAGCCATGTTTGATTATCACAAAATCTAGCTATGAAAGACGACCAGAAGCTTATCATGTATATCACTATCACTGGTTAACCAGAATGCAATGACACTTCTGCCAGGAGATTAGAGTGTAGGTGATAACGGACAAATGAATGGTAAGTCTAGACAATGAAATTATCGCAACGTGTCCCAATGAGCCAAATAGATGCATTTTTGACCACACAACAAATCTAAGGACCTAAAACTGCCATGGCAAATGGAACTATGCAAGCAAATAGAGATGTGGAGGAATGCAAGAGTTAGTGGTAGCATTTGGGGTAAGCATGAATCAACTTTTTTNTTTTTTGTAGTACAAAATATCGTGGTAACGACAAGAAGTTTAAACTGATAAGTTGATAGGTGTCAGAAATACGCTGTATATCCTATCAACCAGAGGTAGAAGGTACGGAAATACGAAAAGGAATATGTACTAAACAGCTGCCCAGTAAAGAGAATTGCAAAAGTGCGAAAGTATCGAATACATGCCAAGTACTGAAAGCCCTCCCTCCCATGATTGTTGTTGTTCGACCATGGCAACGAATAGAGCATCGACTATGCTTGCGAAACTACCACCACTTATAGGAACCTTACGTGGCATAGAATCATATGACAGCTATAAACCCCTTCATCCAAGAGTTCCACAAAAGTATGGTTTCGTATTAATAATATTAAGATATTATTACGTTTTCATATTGAGGGAGAGACTGCCGGTCTGCATGTGTGGCTTTAGTAGGATTATGAGCAAGTATGGGGGCATATACGAAAATAAAAAAGTGAAGAGAACGCACTAGAGGTCTACTACTTTACAAATAAGGCTCTGACGATGACGATAAGGCCGAAAACGTAAGCAAAGTAAATCTGTATTACCTTGGCGAAGGCTTCATAATCACGATTGAAACAACGATACTTTATACCAAAGTCTTCAAATTTGCTATGAATTAATTTGCTAGAAACACCTCGTAAAAGTTGTTGAAGATGTGAAGAGGAGTAGAGATGAAGATAGACCGTAAAATCTATAAACACTGGGTACCACTACCCAGTAAGAAACGCGTAAATAAAACCCCCCAACACTCAAAGAGAGTGCTTAACATCTGGACTAATCGAAGCTTTCCAAAGTACAAAGCCATCCTGAAACAACGACAAGCATGCAAAAGTTGACGTCGTTTAAAATGTGCCATATGTATTGCACCTTAACCCCTATGATATACGCCCAATGTGATGCTTAAAGCAGGTCAAAGGTTGCACCACGATTTTAGCACCACTTAAAGTGTTCAAATTGGTTTCCTGACTGAAAAAAGCGATTTTTGTAAATTCGATGGCCTGTAGTAAAGGTGGGAAAATGCGTAACAAAAGTATGGCGAGCGTGTACAGTACAGTACTTTGTTGTTTACTATGGGACGGTATCAGCACGTCCCTTTATTTCGCTTGTAACTCATATCGCCCACTTCGACTCTACTCTCATCTGCACTCCTTCAGTTTTTGAACAGTATTATGACAGTTATTATCGCTTACGCATTGAAGAAATGAAGATTGCCTACAAGCGACATGAAATAAAACTTTTGGACTCAGATTAACGGATTGATCGCTAAAAACCAGTAGGAAAGGAGGGAATCTATCCGGAGAGCCAAACACCCACTTTCACACCACTAAATTGACTTTGATTACAGTCAATCAACTAGAGTGCGGAGTTACGGTTGCTTCAGCATAACCTCACCTTACTGTTTGTGGTCAACCGTTAGCCTTTTGAAGCTTAGATCACTCAAACTGCGAGTCTCAACTTTCATTATACCCTTAGACGTTTTCATTTCGGAAATCGTTGTTCTCAGCTTATTATGTGGTTTTTAGCACAAGATTTAAATGCCTAGAATCTCGTTAAAAGTTTTATAGAATCTGCTATGTTTAGGTATGTTCGGCCTAAGCACTATGACATCTGCGGCCAGTGAATCCTTTCTCACAAATGTTCGAGAGGAAGCGAACTGTATTCTTGCGGAGATTGTTAGGCTGGCCGGATTCATTCCTCAGGATTTTCTAGATCCGTCATCCTCGAAGTACAAACTATTAATTCTCGACTTCAACTACTTTACTCGAACGGTTCACTATGAAAAAGTCATTGAAGAAAGTGAGGTATGTCAATTTCTTTTAGCCTGTACGCATTTCTTCAGCCGTCCATTTTTTTCTTCTCACGCTCTCTTCTTTCATGGCACATCATCCTTGATGAAACGCAACAGTTACTTTAATTTTCCCCATTGCATTTCACTATTCCGACTGCAAATCCTCGATCTGCTAGACAAGCTGGGAGTTGGGCTGTTTGTTGAGACGCATGCACAACTTGCGCGCTCATCCCGACCGAAATTCATTCTCACTTCGCTCGGCAGGGCAGAATCACAAGGTAGCTGCGAGCTATGAATGAGGCTCATGGAATTTTCGTTAGTGACCCTTGGAGAGTTGCTGTTTTACTTTGGAACTAATCGGTTTCGAATAGTTGTTTCGAACAATGTTATCAAGTCATAGTATTGGACCATGTAAATTCCAAGCTGATATGAAGCTATTAGCAAGAATACTACCATTTATCACAGCTGAGTAAACGGCTGACTCGCTTCTTTTTGTACCATTGAGGAAGTTCGACGAATCCCATGTTAAATAAAAGTGAAATTGAAGTCGTTCTCTTGGTACAATGCTTGCATCTCATTTTTAAACAAATCGTCTCTGTGAAAGACCATTTTTATGTTGATCCTTTCAGGAACTTCAAGACAGTTTCTACAATGCCTACGGCGACCTTATTACTCGTTTTTCTGCACTTTTTCAGGCATTTGCCAACTTTCTATGCAGCCTAAAAGAGTAAGTTTCACTTTTTTCCATTATCGTTTCATCGGAGGCTTCTTTGACTTCTCAGCCCACATAGAAAAGAGGACTGCCGTCCGATGCGAAAAAGTTTTTCTTTTTTTTTTGTCGACCGTGACTTTGTTTAGGCAAAATGTGAGAGTGAATAAGACTGCTTTTGAAAAAGGACGCGCTGAGAATTACGTTCTTCTGAGAGTTAACCTTATCAATCTCACACTATTGTGGTGATGTTTCAGTTACTGCGATCAGGTTGGTAACGATAGGGTTGGTATTTCCTATTTGGACCTAATGGATGTGGATATACTGTTCCATATTGGAATGGTTTTAATGTACATTGAAAACTTCTTGCCCGGCCCAATCAGAGAGCGTATCTATGTGGCTATTTACAGAAATAGGTTTGCCTTCCTCACTCATTTTTGTTTTCAAACATTAAATTACAAATTTTTCAGCGATGAGCGCCGGAATGTGGAATTTTTGGCCGACTTTCTGAGAATGCATCCTACGAGTTCGGAACCTAGTTACCTTTTCGAGTGTGTTGCCTTCTTTAGTTGAATCTGAATTAGTTCTAAGTTGCTACTTTGATTAATTGCCCTCTTTCAGTCGGCTGAAGCTCAGTGAATCCTTTGTTGAAAAATGCCTTTCCTGCTGTGAAACCATTCATAGGGAGGTGGGTATCAGATCACTTCGAATATTTCTGATTCTTTTTGAATGTTTTTTAAAAGCTATCCTTGTTTTTATTTCGTTTCAAAAGTCCACTTGACTCTTGGCTGACCATGCTCATATACATATCAAAGATCCTTGACTATCATTTGTTTGCACAGCTTCGTGTTAGGCTTTCTGAAGCTGTTCTTGAAGCATCAGTCCTTCCAAGAACTATACGCTTAGGAAAAGAAAATGAGACATTATTCCTTGCAGCGTGTCGTGGTCATGTTTGCCCTAATTTACAAATTCAGTTTTGCACATATTTTATCGCTGCCCTTTTATTCTTTTCTATCTTTTGTATCCATTATCTGACTAATTGGACTTCAACTGGTTGGATTCAAAGTCTCCTCTCATTCCTCTGCAATATTTGTTGGGTCAAGTTCATTGAATTGGATATGCTTGAGGGCTTAGATCAGTAAGTGAAAAGTTCATGCCTAATTTTCAGGGGACGAATGATTTCGGAAAGTTGTATGTGGATAGAAGTACACTGATCAAATGGGTTTTCATGTGCCTAGTCTTCAAATCGTCTACACTCAAGAACGACACTATAAAAATGCGGCAGATTGTAGAAGATTTTTTCCGTGACGAATGGGTAGGTGTCTTCGCTTTAACAAGTTTCCAATTCTAAACTTCCTAATTTTAGGTTATACAACTTGGACTTGGTTTGAATGTAAATCTGTTGGATTACTGGCAGTCCTATCGAGCTGCGTTGACAGCTATCACTAATCAAGTGGATTTGAATAAGGCAAAAAGTATGGCATCCTATCATTACAATGCACTTGGAAAGCTTAGTATCCCACAGGTAAGTCTCATGTTCGTTTCAGTCCAAGTTCTTACAATGCTCATGAAGTCTTAACAATTTTAGTTCAGGGTAAAATTTCACCTAATGACTTCGACGCTCATATCCGTCTGATTTCGCAGTATAACTCATCTTTAAGATGGTTAATTCTTCACACTTGTGAGTTCTACGTTTTTCTTTGACAAATCATATTACCCCTTCCTTCTCTCTAAAAAAATTGTAATTGCATGTTCGTAACTTTGGATTGATCACAGCACATTGCCCGCTGTAAAAGATTCTGTGCTCTCGCAGTAACCCCTTGTTGTGTAGCGTTACTTGTGTGACGCATTGAAATTATCGTTGAGTTCAACAGTTTTCAGCTAAGACAACAACTAAAAAGGCATCATCTTATGTGCAAGCCATTGATATTTACCCACAGTTTGATGCTCAAGCACTCGTACTTCTCCTGCGAGCGTCGAATTTCGAAATGGATTTCTTCACGGTGATTTATCTGCTATTAAAAATGAAGTTTTAAGATAACGTGGAACGTTTTGCAGGCTTACAAGGAATGTCTACGTAACAAGAAAGAGAACATACAAAAGTTCACTGGGGCTGCCTGCGCAGTTATAACTGAAATGGCTCAATTGTTTTCCCAGGACTTCGGCTCTTTGAACAAGGATAGACAGAGTGAGTGTTTCAGCCATCTTTCGCATTGAGCCAAGGCCTCAATGCCAGGAGTTCAAAAGTTTAAGATCGGAGTTTCCTATTTTTTGTCATCGTGTCGAACAAACCACAACCCTTCTCTCGAGATTCTCAATGAAAGAGGGTTGTTAAATGGGGAATCGGGGCTCTCTTTCATCGAGTTTTTTTTTTTTTGCAGTTAGTCGTGGGGTTCATTCTAACAGAGATACGTTTTCAGCAAAGTTGCATGATTGGTTCCTGCTAATGAAGAAAACGTTGGAAGAGTTAGATCTCGAAAACAGAAGGAATGGTGAATTCGTCATTCAAGTGAAGAGAAGAATAGCTCAGGTATGACTTGTGTGATCTCTGTGCGAGTTTTAGCTGAATGTTGGGGTAGTCATGGTTTCTCAGATCAATGCCCTTCACTGATGTAAGTGACCTAAAATTAAAACTAGGGCACGAGGATCCGAGTGGTTCCATTCAAGAACCTTCTGTTACCTTCGAAAACTCTGTAGCAGATGTTGTAGGACTCCGATATTTAGGTTGGAGAAATGCATGATTTAAGTAGAAATCTTGCATTGGCACAGCATTTGCAAAGACTGGAGACGCAGTTGGACTGCCTTTCTGCATTGTACAACGTGCGCGAGGAAGATGAGCGTCAAGCACAGCGTTACGCAGATCCTTCGTATTTATGGCCTATTTTGGGTAAAATTGTTTTGGTAATACCTGTAGTTTATTATGAGCATGTATAGGAACTGAAGTGATAGTGCTTAGTTAAGATGATTGGACACCTCGGATACAACGTAGAATACTGGAGTCGTCCAATGTTAACGTCGTTCGCGCACTTTTCTTCAAGCTATCGATTTCGATTTCTACTTTGTGCGATCGATTCAGTGACGAAAGGAAAAAGTGAGTCTCAACTCGGAAAGTTGTTCTGGAGAAACTGTTCTACTAATATGAGGTTTAGCCTAATTGGTCGCGCCTATTCGTACCACTTGGAACGACGTCTGCGCACTATTCTTCAGACCATCCCGAATAAGTTATTTATGGTCTTGAAGACTACGTTGTGTCCAGCTTTGCAACGGCAGTGGGATCCTGTTCTGGACAAGAGCGCCGTGAGTTTTGATTCGTTACAGATGAACACTGCCAATCAAGCAGATGCTAGCAATTTCATTACTCTAATTCCTTGAGTTAAGGTAATAAGGCATGTTCTCGAAAGTAGGTATTTGACCTTATATCTTTGCATCATTTGCATTTCCTCTTAATTTTTCCCTTCGATTCGATGCTACTGCAGTCCTACTTATTAGAGAGAAGTCAAGGTTGAATAAGTACAGGGAGCTAGTTGCGCTAGTTGCTTAGAACTGTTGAGTTGATGATAAAGCAGTGTCGTTGAACCTTTCTCGCAGTGATATCGTTAGATAGACATGCCGATTCTTATCAAATACAGCCTTGATTTTCCTGGAAAAGTTTCCTACTGTGTTATCTTAGGTCAACGGCCTATGTTGGTCCGTTTGGAACTAAAGTGTATTTCCCTTCCAGGCAAGGGAGATGGCAGACTTTGATGATAACTTTCATCTTGCGGAATCAACATATACAATTTCTAACCTTAGCCTCGGTGTATCCAGGATGGCACTCAAAAAAGTGGGCGTGATCAGCATAAACCCGAAGGTCAGTTTTTGCAAACCTTCATCGCTCTGAACTGCTGATGAGATGTTTTTCAAGGAACTGCTCGAGGAAGGAATCCGTCGTGAACTCGCCTTGGAGCTCCCTTCCTTACTAACTTTGTTAGATAAAAATTCTTCTCTCGAGGGTTAGGCTTTATTTGCACTTGCAGGTATCGCTTACGATATACCTCTGACTTTAGACGTGCTGAGAATCCTTTCACTGAACCTCCATCCTTTTCAACGTGGATTCATCTATATGTGTGAACACGTTGATGTCAATGGGCATGATATGTGGCGAGAGGAGGTGGATGCCGTTCTTCGACGAACTGCCAAGGATTTGATGGAGAGAGGGTTGGCACCAGTAAGGAATATTTTCTATAGTTTTTGACGTTTATCACATATTCCACAAAGAGACAGCTGAACCGTGAAACTTATGAAACGTCTGGGGTGTTTCTATCGTGAAATGTTCGCTCTGACTCTAAAAGTACTCTCGAATTCTGGCTGACGATTGAAATCATAAGAAGGAGGAATGCTCGGCACGAGCCAGGCGACCACCACGAGGCAATAAATAAACAAATTGCTACTGTGTATCACTTTGCTTTCAGCAATCGAGCGGAAAGGCAGCTACCGCGGTGCCTGCTCTAACCCTTATTTTCAACTTGATGTTGAAACATTCCGATCCATTGTAGGTTCCATGATTTACCAATTCGAATTTTGCTTTTCTAAGTAGTTATCTCTTTAGCTGCAGCCATTACATGGAAAGTAGTATGACATGGCGTGATGTGAAGACTAAAAAAGATGTACTGTCCTCAAAAATGATCGATTTGATTGAAGTATGTTTCTTTTTAGAGGAAGACTCTTGTTTGTCCAACTCTAAAACCTTTTGCATGAGCCTGAATATTTAGAAATGGATTCCTTCCATTGCGATCAACTCGTTACGAACTGTTCTGAATCATGACATTCAAAATGGCATAAATGGTGGGTATCGTAATCCTTCTTCGTGGAAACACCTTTTCCGTGCATTAAGGTCATATTCGATCGTCGGTTAATAGGACTTTTTATTCAGATATGTTCAAACTTCTGAGCACCATTTCCAACTCCGTCGGTTCTTTCACATTTTCCGAAGCTTTCATGCAGTCAAGCCAATATGAGCAGCTTCTCCGTCAAATTCAAGGGAACTCGATGCTTCCTCGCATGGTTGCAAAGGTTTGATGATTTTTTTCTGAGCAAATTGCGTAGCTTTCTATTGAATAATGTGCGTTGAGCGGACTTTCATTATGCTAAATCCGAAACTTTTCAGGAGTATGGTAGTTTCATTTGCGTAGAGCTTGTTCCAGCTCAACTTTATTTCCCTTATTTCAGTTTGTTAGGATTATATTATGTGACAAGGGTTGCAGTGCCGAAAACATGTAATTCAGGTTGGACAGCTACTTCTCCTTCTTATAATGTTGTGCCAGTCGAAAAAGCAACACTGCCAGCTGCATGCGGCGCCTTTGTTCTCGGTTCTGTCCGCTTGCGATCGGTAGTTACCACTTTTTTCTTTTTGAACTCTCCATTGTTTCTTTTTACGATAATCCAATCACCATGTTGATTAGCGTTAACCGCGAATTCTTCTAGATTCCTCGTTTCTTCTCCGGATGGGGTCCCATCGGACGTGGCCCCATTGGTTAATTTATTGCGGGACTGTGGATTGTGTACACCTTCACTGGCACTTTATAAGACGAAAGTGACAGTGCCGTCTAATACGATTGTGTATTTGCTGCTGACGTTGTACGTCTCCATGTCAAAATTGAACGGTTAGTGTTTATAGAATGATTTCCAGAAGCCTTTGTTCATTTAAGGGCTCGTGCTTTCAGAAAAATTGCTTCTCATGTCGTGCTCACCTTGCCTCCTATATGACATCTGTTCAGGTACCCGAAAGGACTCGATTTGCGGACGAACCTTCATAGCCGGCTTATTTTGCCTTCTGCATCAGATCAATGGTGTCGAAGAGTTCGGAAAGACCGCAGAACTCTTTGCTGATTCTATCGTTCCAGGGAAGAACTCCAATGAAAGGCAGCTACTTCTCTCATATTCTAGTAGTGTAGTTACTTTTTCATGACCGCATGATTCTTTTTGTTTTCATTCAACTTATGAGTACACTGGTATTTCAATTCATTCACTTGCCTTCATTTCAATTACGAGTTTATACGAATAGGGTTAGATCTGATTATTAATATTGTAAATAAGGAAATACTTTTTTACGTTGCTATATAAAGTTACCGCTGTGATTCTGAGCTATCTGGTCCAGTTGTTGTATTGCAATTATAATCTGGTCGAGTTTTATACTGAGCAAATTGTACAAAGTTATATTAAGAAGTAGAGGGGGTCCACATGAAGCGAACTCGTTGTGGGTTTGTATAATAATCTCCTGTCAATGGTGCCTACTGAACATACAGTCCGTCTGCTCGCTATCATTCCGACATCTGTATGTGTGCTACTTTTACACGAAATGAAACTCTTAGAAGTTTGCCTGTGTTTTTGCTTTTAAATCATCTTCGTGGGATTCGCTTCCAGACTGGAAGATTACGGTATACTAATAAGAGCAGAACATTTTAAAGTATGTGGGATTCACACCAGGTTTTGAGATAACGACGTAGGAAAGCTTTTAAGGAAGATATGGAAATATGTTTGTACAAGCCAAAAAGGTTAAAAAGGATACAAATTAATTTACAAGGTACGCGAAGATGAAAGTTTAACTTTAAGACAAAATCGACCGTTAGATCTTCGAATTATTAAGTCCCATCAGTTCGATCTACACATTCAGATAGATCCCAATAATGCCGAGGTTGTTAATCAGGTGGTACTTTCGGTGAAACTGTAGTTGGGGTGCCAGGCCCTTTTGTGCTCTGCGTCTCTTCAATTCTTACCCCATCTAGTCATCTCATCC